TGAAGCCTTGGGTGCACTACGTCCCCGTCCGATCGGACCTCTCCGACGCCAGGTGCGAGCCCCCGAGCGTGCGCAGCGGAACACTGCATGCTGCAGGAGAGCTCCGCTGTGTTCGGGAAGGCGCTGCGGTTTGTGTTGGGCTGAGAAGTGCCTCCACTCCCGGGCATCATACAAAGGCTCTTGGATGTCGTGCTCTTTTCTCTTTGTTACTGCCCCCAAAGAATCCTTTGCTCCTGTTACTCAGAGAGCACAGTTTCACGGCGGGGCGGAGGTCTGTCACCCTCACGGAAATCAGCAGGCAGTAGGCACTTAAATTTGCAAGTGGGTGCTGCGGCACAGATGAGGGAAGGAGGAACATATCACCAGGCCAAAAATGTCTTAGCTCCCCGCTTTCAGCATGGGGTCCAGAACCGATACGGAACAACTGGGAGTGGCGGGTTTCTTCCTTGTGCTGAAATGCGGAGCACCAGTGCCTCACTCCTGTGCAGATCCTTAATCTCATCCTCCGCAAATGGTTTAGCTGAGGGATGGGGTTCTCTGTTGAGCTGTTTGTTTCATGGTGGTTTTTTGGTCTTCGTTTTAGGGAGCTGTTGCAATTTGTAAAGGAAAATGATGCCATAGCACAAGAAATCTCAGAGAGGTAAGTTGTGTGTCCTTTCTGGCTATCAGGCAGTCCTCTTCCAAAGCGTTTTCTTACGCAGCTTTTGAAGGGGTTACCTGCCAAAGCCAGCCCGGTGTTAACAGGGTTCAGTCTAACTGTAACAACAGCGGGAGGGCTGGAGAAGTCACAACAAGGAGGGGGAACAGGAGAACAAAACGGTGTGCTTAGGTCTTTGGTTCAGATGTGACCCATGGCAGGAACCCCGCTGAAAGCTACCAGAAGTTGGGAGCTTTTGTCTGGGTGTGAGGTGAGCTGACCCCTGGGAAATGCATCTGCCAGCGCTGTGTATCCAGGCTGGCAGCGACTGGCTTCTCACGCAGTGCACGTCAGTGCTGCTCGGGCTGCATCTGGTGTGCGGAATCTGAGATTTATTATCCCAGATAACAAATACCATCTTGAGGAAGACAAAAGCACTGCAACTGTCAGAGCTGCGAACGTGAATGAAAGTGCAAAATTAAAATAGACGGTACAGAGCAGCGCATGTTGTTTCTCGTTGAAACACAGGAGAGTGGAAGTCGATACACGCGTAAAACAAACCCAAAGACTCTTGTAGGAACTGGGAATTGGTTCTGACTGTGCCTTGTGTGTCTCTAGGGGACGCCAGTTCATCACCGAGCACTTGCAGATGGAGGATGTCTCTTGCTACTGGGAGCATCTGCTGTCTGAATATTCCCAAGCCTTGACTTACCGCGTGAAAAGGAGGAAGAGCTACAGCGAGATCGCTTCCGAACGGCTGAAAACGGAACTGTAGAGACTGCTCTGTTTCACTCTCCAGCTCGAACTGATCTCTGTGGAAACCTGAGACTCGGCCTATCTTCTTTCTTGTTCTCTCAGACTGCTCATCCTTGGTGCTAGAACCGCAGAGAACAGCAACAGGCTGAGCTGGAAATGGTTCCCACGCCGGGGGACCCGGCTGCGCTGTTGCTGCAAGAACACCGAGTTCCCTTTTCTTTGTAGATGGTCAATGTTTTCTCACCTGTGTGACAGCGCCTGGGATACTGGGTGTTCTCTGGCAGAAGCAGGTACTGGGATTTGGGTTAATGTTTTTAGATAGCTTAGAGCTTAGTTTTCTGATGTTTATGTCAGGTGTTTAAAGAGGTTGGTGGTAAGGCTTTGATGTGCCAGTGAAGGGAGGAGTGCTCCTTGCACAGGTGACCTACCGACCTCACAGGGGTGCGGCTGGCGGGGGGGGGGTTGCCACAGGGCCAAGCGTGAGCAGCAGACAGCCAAGCGGCTGGTGACCGAGGTGAAGAGGGCTCATCCTCCCACAGAGGAGCCATGCGGAACGGAGCCCCCGTTCACAAGCTCTCCCTGGTTGGCTGGCCAGGCATCCTTCAGAACCCGGAGAGAGCGTGTGCAGAGGTAGAGTCAGCTCTCCTTTTTCTTCCAGATGTTCCCAGAGTCTCTGCTCTGATCCCCTTCTGTAATCTTTCCAGGGTGGATTTTTGGTTTTTTGTTGGGGCGTTTTGTTGTTTGTTTTTTTTTTTGAGGCTGGTAACGTGTCTGCTGACTTTAGTATTCGCTGTTACGCTCCTTGTCTCCCTCAGTCTGGCTGAGGGGATGGCAGCGGCAGTGGCAGCTAC